CCGCCGCCGCCCCCTGCCCTCCTCCCGCGCCGCGCGGCAGCCGCGGCGCCCTCCCGTGAAGAGAAGGAGCGCGGCGCGGGCAGCGGCGTTGGCAGCGAGGAGCCGGCGGCGGCGGCCGCGCAGCGAGGAGGAGGAGGAGCAGGAGCAGGGAGGAAGATGCCGCCGTCGCTCGGCCGTTGAAGGCGGCTCGTCCCCGCTCGCGGCGGCCCGTGCAGGGAGCGGAGCGGGCAGCGCGGCCCCGGGCGCCCTCGCCCCATGGCGCGGGCAGCGCCGAGGCGCTGAGGCGGAGAGCAGCTTCCCGGCCTGTCTCCCCCCAACGCTTTTACCGTTTTAAACGCTACTTTTATTCCTCCCCGTGCACGCTCGGGGCTTTTCGGCTCTTTTTGTTGCCGCTGCTGCTCGTCTGCATTTTTTTTTTTTTTTAAATTTTCCTTGTATTTCCGCGGCGGGAGCCGCGCCTGAGTTGGCCGCGGGCGGAGCAGCGGCTCGGCCGGCTCCCGGGGCGGCCTCCGCGGCCGGGCGGATGGAGCAGCGGCGGCGCCGGGGCCCGCGCGGAGGCGGCCGCCAGCGGGCCGCGGCCGCGGCGCTCTGAGCGGGGCCTCGCCGCCGCTCCGGGAGGGGAGGAGAGGACGGGAGAGCCTCGCCCGCCCCGGGCACTCTGAGATTGAAGGGACTGAGCAGGAAGCGCTGCCCGCGCCGCCGCAGCCCGTGCGGTTTCTCTTCTGTGCCTGCTTGTTCCTGTTTTATTATTTCTCCCCCCCCCTTTGTTTTATATACGCTTGCTTTGCTCTGGAATAAGGGAAGCCTTTTTTAACAATCTTTGGAAACATGTCGACGGGAGAAAGCTTCGAGTCTCGCTTTGAGAAGATCGATGGGGCTTTGAAGGATCCCAAATCCGAGGTGAACGTGGACTGCCTGCTGGTGAGTGTGAGGGCCCTGTGCGCCTGCTCCCCGATTTCCCTGCCCTCTGGCAGCCCTCCTGGCACTGGGGCTTAGTCAACTGCCGAGCTCCGCTCCTGTGCCTCCTTATCCAAATCCTCAAGTAGGTGCCTGGGTTCTTCCCAGCGCTGTCAGGCTCCCAGTTGCATCACGAGGAGGACTTCAACACGCAGGACTTCATCCCTGACGTAAACACCGGCGCTGCACAGCCGCTTCCACGGAAGTGAGCGGGGCCTCAGTGCTGAGGTTAGAAAGTACCTCAGCAAAGCGTGTGCCACGTCCAGCTGGGTACTTCGGTGGTGTAGCTGGGTACTTGGTGCTCCTAGAGATGCCCTTAAATAGTAGTGAAATGTTATGTAGGCTTTTATGCTGACCTAGCCAATTCATTTTCTTTAGAGCAACTGATTAAAAGTTGCTTTTTTTTTTTTTTTTATAGGTATATTTTGGTTTACTGCTGCAGAAAAGAAAAATGGAAGTGCAATTATTCCTAGTGTGAATTTTGGCATTTCTTGAGGAGCAGAGAGGGAAGAGGTGTGGGGATGGAAGTAGCTGTTAGCTATAGCACATAGAAGAAAGAGGTGAGAGGAACCTAATGAAAGCTCTGGTACCGGTCTGTGACATCTTGTGCTGTGCTCAGGGTACTGACAGGTCAAACTTGTAGCCCTGGGTGAAAGCAGAGCCTCCTGTGGGTGCTGCTGGTGCCAAGGCAAGGGGTGTTGCTTCTTGCAGAGGACTTGACTGTGATGTGGATGTTTAGTTCTCTGCTTATGGTGCTTATAAGGTACTCCGTGAGCTTTGGTGATGCAAAGCTGCCTTCCAAAACTGTGTTGTATGACAGGCTTCTGCTGGTGGAACTCAAGAATATGGGATCAAATAAGCATCCTGAGCTCTGTGTTAAGTTTGCCTCAGTTTTCTGGCATGTGCAGTGATGCTGCCCATGCTCTTAAGGCTTTCTGCAGCATAGGGCATTGCAGATAATCTAACATGCGGTAACTGTATTTCTTGATTTGTTAATCACTTTAAGCATTTGCACTTTTCCAGTTAATACTCGTTGCAGCCTTGGGTTTAAGCTGTAGTCAGTTTTGGAGCTGGTCTTGTTGGGATGCTTCCTGTTGTGGAAAGGTTTAGAGTGTTCACACCTCAGGTATTAGGAATGTTTCTTAAATTGAAGATATTTTAGGGCTTCTCAAATTTTGGCATACTTTTGAATATTGCTTTAGAGGTTACTTCTTTTTGCCTTTAATAGATGTCAGTTTAAACAAGGTGCTACTTCTAAAACATCAGCTAATAGGTTAACATTATATGTGTATCAAGTTCTCTGTTGGCTGTAGTTTAACTTGGGCTTGTAGCCCTCCTTGTTGGCTGTTTTTTATAGTTCTGTAGAATTTAAGTGTCTAACCATTTCCAAAGGTTCTTAGTGTGAGGAGCAGCATAATCTTTGGCCCAAAGTTCTACTTGTGTATTAAATCTAACATCTACATGAGTGTACTCTTAAAGAAGTGCTTTAGATTAAGGTTAAATTGATCTCCGCTTAAAACACAGTTCAAGATGAACTCTCTCCCTGCCTTTACTTCTCCACTCCTCCCTGCAGAGAAAGAAACTTGTCGATCTCCAGTCCTGATGGATTAAAAAGTTGTATTTTGATGATCAAATTTTGATAAAGAATCAGCTTATCCTTCTTTATTACAGCACTTTAAAAACCTTAGAGTAGAAGCATGAATGGATGTTATTTATAGTTGTTTCCACTGTTCCTCAGCACAGGTGTCGGCTAGCTATGCATCTGAGCTGCACTATCTAAGCATCTGTGCAGGTGTTTTAAATTCAACATCCAGTTTTCTGCAGGACTGCTAGGACTTCTTCAGGCTCAAAAAATAATCTTCTTAACTGTTTGAAGAACAGTCTCTGCAATGCCCTTTCTTTGTTCTTGATATGTTTTTGTCCTCCTTAGCTTTACTTGATTTGCATCCTTCCTTTCTTTAGCCACCCTTCCAGTCCCTCCCCATGTTTGTAGCCTCTATGGACTAACGGGCAGATATGAAATAACCTTTAAAGTAAGCTAACCATTTTGGTTTTGTGGATGTTCTTTGTGCTAGAAATAGCCTAAACTTTTATGTTTGAAGTAATATGAGATTATTAAGAAAAGAAGATCAGGGAGTGGGAAGGTTTGGTACAAGGGAAGGAGTGTAATGAATTCAGGAAGGAGTGGGAGAATGAGAGTTGTGACAACAAAACAGGAGGAAAAGACATACGGAGAACTATATAACTTCCTTCCTGTTGAATGTAAGCTGAAATTCATAATGTCGAGCCACTGGAGAGAGGAGGATGTACAAGAGAAAACAGGAAAATAAACAGAGCTGTAGTAAAAGTAGGGTAAGAAAACTGATTATAAGTTGCAACTATATTTGATTTTGTTTGAGGCTTCATGCACTTCAGTTGTGCCAGGCTGGGAAGTGATAGAAATGCTTTCATTTTGATGAGCCATGAGCAGGCTGGAGCTTACATTTTGTGCCAGAGTATCATGCAGTGCTTTCCCAAAATAGCAGGCCCCAGGCTTCTTGTAATCTCCAAAAGATCTAATAAAACTGTGAAGGGTGTGTTAGATGCGTGGTCACACTGTAGGGCGTGTGCTAATCGGATACCGGTGAACATCTTGGGTGCGCTAAACAGAGCCAAGGGCAACGCGAGCAGCTAGCTATTAACTGGGGCTCAGTGCCTCACTGACAACATTACCCAGGCAAGGTAGGTGTGGGTGTGGTGGTTTATTTTTTTATTTTTTATTTATTTATTTTTATGAGTGTACTTTTGGAAAATACGTTTCTGTTTTTATTCTTGGAGTTTCTTTCCAGAGTCCTTTGTTTATTGCATGCTTTTTAGTGAGGCACAGGGGTTGTAATAGGTTGACTGGATGGGAGAGATACCTCCGGCTGAAGTTACCTATGCTCATTGGATTCAAAAGCTAGTAAGGTAGTTTTCACAAAAATGCATTTTTGGTTCTCTCTTCGCTATTAAAATGGAAAAAGACTTCTTAGTGAGTTAATAGTATCTATTAGCTAGAGATTTGAGTAAGTTTGGGCTTGTGTGTTTG